GTCATACCCTGGTTTGTTCTGAACAGAATGAGCCCGTGTTTGATGCACAGTTACGAGAAGACATGGTGTCATACCCTGGTTTGTTCTGAACAGAATGAGCCCGTGTTTGATATACAGTTACGAGAAGACATGGTGTCATACCCTGGTTTGTTCTGAACAGAATGAGCCCGTGTTTGATGCACAGTTACGAGAAGACATGGCGTCATACCCTGGTTTGTTCTGAACAGAATGAGCCCGTGTTTGATATACAGTTACGAGAAGACATGGTGTCATACCCTGGTTTGTTCTGAACAGAATGAGCCCGTGTTTGATGCACAGTTACGAGAAGACATGGCGTCATACCCTGGTTTGTTCTGAACAGAATGAGCCCGTGTTTGATGCACAGTTACGAGAAGACATGGCGTCATACCCTGGTTTGTTCTGAACAGAATGAGCCCGCGTTTGTTTATTGTGCAGAAGATATGCTGCGGCACAGGGCATGTGAACGCACTCCTTTCTATGGACATCAACACTGTGAGATCGTATTTAATAACTTAGCTAGTCATGTTAGCAATAGAACAAACTTTCAAATCGTGCCCACCTGAACCCAGATTGCGATTTATAACGGACCGTTTTTGGATTGCGTAAACAACAACAGTAATTGTGTGACGGCGGGGACGCAGGGTTGTGTTCCAAACGAAACAACTACAAATGTGTTAGCTTTAGTTCCTCAACGGCCCAGCTAGGAGAGCTAAAAAAAAAAAAAAAACGTATATTTGAAGACTCTTCTTTGAGTCATAAAAATGTGTTGAGATGACTTATGAACTGCACAGTTTGGAGGGGTGTGGCCACTTGGAGACACCAGTTAGACATCTCACTCAAACCCACAGTTTGGAGGGGTGTGGCCACTTGGAGACACCAGTTAGACCTCTCATTCAAACCCACAGTTTGGAGAGGTGTGAGGCCACATGGAGACACCAGTTAGTCCTCTCACTCAAACCCTTGTCATTTTTTTGTGTTATGTTGCACCTTATCATATTACTGAATGTATCCAGAGTATTTTCAGATTTCGTTATCAACAAATGCTGTGAAAAGTACAGTAAATGTAAAATGCACATAAAATGAACAGTGTAATGTTTTGATTCAGTCTTGTGTCAGGTGAACTGTTGTGACCTCAACTTTGGTCTAATACGTTCCCTAATTATCTACCAACTGTTCCCTTTCAATTGCTACCATGGTTATGTATGTACTTTTCATATTTCGTCTGAAAGAAACATTTCAATTGAACCCTATCCATATAGGCCAATTCCCACAAGTGTAAATGGTTAATTAAGCAGTGGCTGGGTGACCGCTTTGTTGTTGCTTGAACTGTAGATTGCCCCTTTAAGTCATGTGCAATATAAAGTTACTTCGACATTGCATCTAAGTGCACAAGACCTAGCCACTAAACAGCCTATGAGACTGCCCTGTGATAACTCTATGTTCCCCTTGAGTGGGCTAAGTAGAATAGAAAACCTGAAGTGGTGCTATACTGAAGATGTGTTCTGGCTAGCTTCCCGGCCTTATGTGGCTGCCCATAGAACCCTGGATACCTAAATGACCCAGCTCGGACTCATTCAGCCCCAGGCCCACAGCCTGAAACAAATGGGTACACTTGGTGTAGAAGACATTGCATTCTCAAACAACAATCATACTGTACCTGGTGAAACAGAAAAACCAAGACGACTACTTCACATGGATAACACAGTAAAACTAAGGCCTTGATTAAATCTCAGCCAAGCTAAAGTACTAACGCAGAGGTTACTGTACAGTGCATCTTTTAAAGGCATTTTTCTCACAACGTTCACAGAGATTGCATTAACGGTAAACCTGTACATGTTATTTAATAGAAAATGATGTGGTTACCATGGGTGCTGATGTTGTTTATTTGATGAAGTCAGTCAAAGTACTTTGTAGAAATATTAACCGTTGATGTCTACTCATTGTCATGACATCCTGGTCTTTCCTTTGTTACTGCAGACAGACATCGCCATGGCATCCTGGTCTTTCCTTAGTTACTGCAGACAGACATCGCCATGGCATCCTGGTCTTTCCTTAGTTACTGCAGACAGACATCGCCATGACATCCTGGTCTTTCCTTAGTTACTGCAGACAGACATCGCCATGACATCCTGGTCTTTCCTTAGTTACTGCAGACAGACATCACCATGGCATCCTGGTCTTTCCTTAGTTACTGCAGACAGACATCGCCATGACATCCTGGTATTTCCTTAGTTACTGCAGACAGACATCGCCATGACATCCTGGTCTTTCCTTAATTACTGCAGAAAGACATCACCATGGCATCCTGGTCTTTCCTTAGTTACTGCAGACAGACATCGCCATGACATCCTGGTCTTTCCTTAGTTACTGCAGACAGACATCGCCATGACATCCTGGTCTTTCCTTAGTTACTGCAGACAGACATCGCCATGACATCCTGGTCTTTCCTTAGTTACTGCAGACAGACATCTATATGAAAATGGCTGGTCAATCACTAACACTGTACCGTTGACTTATTGATATGCTATATGAAAATGTCTTGTCAATGACTAACATCATGCATAGTAACAGGACTAGCTGGTGACAGAAATATTTCAAAATCAATCAATATTCCATCTCTGGGTTTGTATTTGTCATATTCAAAGTCTCTGGGGAAGACACTTTTAAAGCAGAGATGTCACACAGAGATAGATGTAAGATTTTCCCCCCTTTTGTATGGATAATGATGAGACTGACAGTTACAGTCTCTCTGATAGAACATGAACCTGTCAGTGTCTCAGCAAAGGGGAATCAGCAGGCGCTGACACTACAACGCTGTGGAACACACTAATGGTGACAGCCTCACTCAATGAAACGCCAACTTTTTGAGGGGTCAGCAACTCTCCGGAGATGTCATGCACTTTCAGAATAGGGATCTGGAGCAGTCACACAGAGATGCAACTGTTTCCACCCCTTTTTCAATTCATAATGATGAGACTCGGCAGTTACAGCGGTGTCTCCGTACCACTCCAATAATACACAGACCTGTCAGTGTCTTAATGGGGGGGACTCGGCAGAACACATCACACCGCTGTTCAAGGTACAAATACTGACAGCCTGCCAGAACGAAACTCCAACTAATCAGGGTCAGCACTTCATGCAGAGGGAGATATCTTTCTCTGTGTCGTCATGTCACTGCTCTCCAGCTGAATAACAGTACTACTCTCCAGCTATATAACAGTACTACTCTCGCAGCTATATAACAGTACTACTATCCCGCTATAATACATACTACTCTCCAGCTATCTAACAGTTACTACTTATACCAGCTATATAACAGTACTACCTCGCATCTATAGAACGTACTACTCTCCAGCTATTAACAATACTACTCTCCATCTATATAACAGTACTACTCTCCAGCTATATAACCAGTAACTAGCTCCAGCTGAATAACAGTACTACTCTCAGCTCATATAACAGTATACTACCCCCTCCAGCTATATAACATTACTACTCTCCAGCTATATAACAGTACTACTCTCCACTATTAACTTTACTACTCCCCCAGCTATATAACAGTACTACTCCCCCCACTATATAACAGTACTACTCTCCAGCTATATAACAGTACTACTCTCCAGCTAATAACAGTACTACTCCCCAGCTATATAACATTTACTACTCCTCCAGCTTATAACAGTACTACTCTCCACTAATAACTTACTACTCTCCAGCTAATAAACAGTACTACCTCCAGCTATATAACTACTACCTCCAGCTATAAAACAGTACTACTCTCCAGCTATATAACATACTACCTCTCCCAGCTATATAACAGTACTACTCTCAGCTTATAACAGTACTACTCTCCACTATATAACAGTACTACTCTCCACTATAAAACAGTTACTATTTACTCTCGCCTCTATAATAACATACTACTCTCCAGCTATATAACAGTACTACTCTCCAGCTATATAACAGTACTACTCCCCCAGCTTTTAACAGTACTCCTCCAGCTATATACAGTACTACCTCCGCTATATAACAGTACTACTCTCCACTATATAACAGTACTACTCTCCAGCTATAAAACCCGACTCTCTCCAGCTAATACAGTACTACTCTCCAGCTATATAACGTACTACTCCCAGCTATAACAGTACTACTTCTCCAGCTATATAACAGTATTTACTCCCCCCAGCTATATAACAGTACGACTCTCCAGCTATATAACAGTACTACTCTCCAGCTATATAACAGTACTACTCTCCAGCTAAAATAACAGAAACTACTCTCCAGCTATATACAGTACTACTCTCCCCCTAAAAACCCAGTACTACCCCTCCAGCTATATAACAGTACTACTCTCCAGCTATATAACAGTACTACTCTCCAGCTATATAACAGTACTACTCTCCAGCTATATAACAGTACTACTCTCCAGCTATATAACAGTACTACTCTCCAGCTATATAACAGTACTACTCTCCACTATATAACAAAAGTACAAAAACTCTCCAGCTATATAACAGTACTACTCTCCAGCTATAAACATACTACTCTCCAGCTATATAACATACACTCTCCAGCTATATAAAAGTACTACTCTCCAGCTAATACCGTACTAACTCTCCCAGCAAATTTTAACAGTACTACTCTCCAGTTTAAAAACAGTACTACCTCTCCAGCTATATAACAGTACTACTCTCTCCAGCTATATAAGTACTACTCTCCAGCTATAAAACCAGTACTACTCTCCAGCTATATAACATATTTACTCCCTCTATATAACAGTACTACTCTCCAGCTAAAAACAGTACTACTCTCCAGCTAATAAAGTACTACTCTCCAGCTATATAACGTACTCTCTCCAGCTATATAACAGTACTACTCTCCCACTAAAAATAACGTACTACTCTCCAGCTATATAACAGTACTACTCCCCAAAGCTATATAACAGTACTACTCTCCACTATATCACTACTACTCTCCAGCTATATAACAGTACTACTCTCCAGCTATATAACAGTACTACTCTCCAGCTATATAACAGTACTACTCTCCAGCTATATAACAGTACTACTCTCCAGCTATATAACAGTACTACTCTCCAGCTATATAACAGTATAACTCTCCCCAGCTATAAAACCCGTACTACTTCTCCAGCAAATATAACAGTACTACTCCCCCGCTATATAACAGTACTACTCTCCAGCTATAACAGTACTACTCTCCGCTATATAACAGTACACTCTCCACTATATAAAAAGTACTACTCTCCAGCTATTAACAGTTATTTAACTCTCCGCTATAAAACCCGTACTACTCCCCAGCATATACAGTACTACTACTCCCAGCTAATAACATTACTACTCTCCAGCTATATAACAGTATACTCCTCCAGCTATATAACAGTACACTCTCCAGCTATATAACAGTACTACTCTCCAGCTATAAAACAGTACTATCTCTCCATCTATATAAACAGTACTCTCTCCAGCTATATAACAGTACTACTCTCCAGCTAATACCGTACTACTCTCCAGCTAATAACAGTACTACTCTCCTCTAATAACAGTACTACTCTCCAGCTATATAACAGTACTATCTCCCCCTCAGCTAATAACAGTACTACTCTCCAGCTATATAACAGACTACTCTCCAGCTATATAACAGTACTACTCTCCAGCTATATAACAGTACTACTCTCCAGCTATATAACAGTACTACTCTCCAGCTATATAACAGTACTACTCTCCAGCTATATAACAGTACTACTCTCCAGCTATATAACAGTACTACTCTCCAGCTATATAACAGTACTACTCTCCAGCTATATAACAGTACTACTCTCCAGCTATATAACAGTACTACTCTCCAGCTATATAACAGTACTACTCTCTCTCAGCTAATAACAGTACAACTCTCCGCTATATAACAGTACTACTCCCCAGCTATATAACAGTACTACTCTCCAGCTATATAACAGTACTACTCTCCAGCTATATAACAGTACTACTCTCCACTATAAACTTAACCCCAAAAACATACTACTCTCCACTATATAACAGTACACTCTCCACTATATAACAGTACTACTCTCCAGCTTTTATAACGGGTACTACTCTCCAGCTTATAACAGTACTACTCTCCAGCTATATAACAGTACTACTCTCCAGCTATATAACGGTATTTACTCCCCCACTATAAAAACATACACTCTCCAGCTATATAACAGTACTACTCTCCATATAACAGTACTACCCCCTCCAGCTAATAACAGTACTACTCCCAGCTATATAACAGTACTACTCTCCAGCTAATAACAGTACTACTCTCCAGCTATATAACAGTACTACTCTCCAGCTATATAACAGTACTACTCTCCAGCTATATAACAGTACTACTCTCCAGCTATATAACAGTACTACTCCTCCAGCTATATAACAGTACTACTCTCCAGTTTATATAACAGTACTACCTCTCCAGCTATAAAACAGTACTACTCTCCAGCTAATAACAGTACACTCTCCAGCTATATAACATACCTACTCCCACTGAATAAACATACTACTCTCCGCTATAACAGTACTACTCTCCAGCTATTACATACTACTCTCCAGTATATAACAGTATTTACTCTCCAGCTATATAACTACTACTCTCCAGCTATTAACAGTACTACTCTCCACTATATACATACTACTCTCCACTATATAACTACTACTTCCCTATTAAGTACTATCTCCAGCTATATAACAGTACTACTCTCCAGCTATATAATACTCTCTCCAGCTATTAAAGTACTACTCTCCAGCTATATAACTCCCTACTTAACTCTCCCAAATATACATTACTACTCTCCAGCTATATCAGTACTACTCTCCACTTATAACAGTATATTCTCCAGCTATATACAGTACTACTCTCAGCTGAATAACAGTCTACTCTCCAGCTATATAACATACTACTTCCTTATAACAGTATACTCTCCATTTATCCTCTCAGCTATATAACGTCTACTCTCCAGCTATATAACATTTAACTACTCTCCGCTATATAACAGTCACTTCCCTTATTTTACAGTACTACTCCCACTATATAACAGTACTCTCTCCAGTGAATAACATACTACTCTCATTATCTATACTCTCCACTTATAACTTTACTACTCTCGCGGAATACGTACTACTTTCCAGTATATAACAGTACTACCTCCAGTTATTTTACTTATATAACAGTCTCTCTCCATATAACATACTACTCTCCAGTATATAACAGTCTACTCTTCCAGCTATATACAGCCTCTCCACTATATAACAGTACTACTCTCCGGTATATAACAGTACTATTTCTCCAGCTATATAACAGTACTACTCTCCAGCTATATAACATACTATTCCCAGCTTATAACATACTACTCTCCAGCTATATAACGTACTACTCCCCCCAGCTATATAACGTACTACTCTCCAGCTATATAACAGTACTACTCTCCACTAAAACAGTACTTACTCTCCACTATTAACGTACTACTCTCCCACTATATACAGTACTACCCCCAGTAAACAGACTACTCTCCAGCTGAATACAATTTCTACTCTCCAGCTATATAACAGTACAAACTCTCCAGCTATTTAACAGTACTACTTTTCCACTATATAACATACTACTCTCCGCTATATAACAGTACTACTCTCCAGCTTTTTAAACAGTACTATCTCCACTAATAAAAGTACTACTCTCCACCCTATATAACAGTACTACTCTCCAGCTATATACAGTACTATCTCCAGCTATATAACAGTACTACTCTCCCAGCTATATAACATTACTACTCTCCAGCTATATAACAGTACTACTCTCTCCAGCTATATAAGTACTACTCTCCAGCTATAAAACGTACTACTCTCCACTATATAACGTACTACTCTCCAGCTTATAAAGTACTACTCTCCAGCTAATACAGTACTACTACTCTCCAGCTATATAACAGTACTACTCTCCAGCTGAATAAACAGTACTACTCTCCAGCTATATAACAGTACTACTCTCCAGCTATATAACAGTACTACTCTCCAGCTATATAACAGTACTACTCTCCAGCTATATAACAGTACTACTCTCCAGCTGAATAACAGTACTACTCTCCAGCTATATAACAGTACTACTCTCCAGCTATATAACAGTACTACTCTCCAGCTATATAACAGTACTATTCTCCAGCTGAATAACAGTACTACTCACCAGAGAGACACATAACTACTTTGAAAGTAAGTTTTGAGATTAAAGTCCTTGACAGTGTGTTTCTCTCCAATGTAATCCAGCTGCCCTGGACACATACACACACACACACACACACGCACGCAGGCTGGCGCACACACACACACACACGCACTCACACACACACACACACGCACGCACGCAGGCAGGCACACACACACGCACTCACACACACTTACACACATACACGCACACACACACACACACACACACATGTCCGCACGCACATTCACACATTACATCACAGAATATATGTTCACATTTTCACAGTCTAACTGGCACAATGAGCTCATTATGACTAACATAAATGTCATCCCCTTGTGTGTGAGTGTGTCTGTCTGTCTGTCTGACTGGGACCTTGTTACTTCATAGAGGAACAGCTGTGAGGGCTGCCATCTCCAGTTGTCATGGGGAAGAACAGCAGAACCATAAGGCCACACGCTCACAACACCTGACCTCCTGCTTTTAAATGTCAGACACTGCCTTGCGGTTCCATTCCCGTGGAAATTAGCTTGTTTGGTGCTCAGCAGGATAATTGGTATGAGTGTTGCAAGTTTCAAAATCATCGGTGTGAGATGTAAATGTGTGTGTGTGTGTGTGTGTGTGGCATGCACACAAACGTCATACTTGTATCATACTTCATGGATGGAATGGAGACACAGATGTTCAGCTCCAATGACTTCTATTTCAATCCAGTGAGCTTACGGTGACGTAGACCAAGTAGAAGACAATGTTCAGTCACACCATGACATCTAAAGTATCTCATCGGGGTGTAGACGTGCCTTCCTGTGTCCTGACTGTCTGCCACACTAAAACAACCTCCCAGCCTCTTCTTCTGTCTTCCCTGAACTGAGAAAACACAAAACCACTGTGGTGAGATCTTACAGGCTGGAATGGGTAGGACACTGTCCAATAAAATCACTTCTCCAGACGTGACACAGATGCCGGGAGCCAGATAGAAGGTGTGACTGGCCAATGAGTGGTCTGGGAGAGCCTTGGCTGCAGGACACACACACACACACACACACACACCACACAAACACACACACACACACACACGTGAATAACATCTAATACACACATGCACACACACACACACACCCTGACAGAGACAACGTCTAACATCTCCAACACTAATGACAAGCTCCTCTAGACTGACATCCAATTACTTAATTATAAGCAGCAAACTGATCACACGCTTGTTGAGCATTAGGCTCCTGCCAAAACCCTGCTGTCGTTATCAAGGATCTCTTCATGCAGAGAAATAACCAAAACAAGTTTAAAGGAGATGGATCTCTTCATGCAGAGAAATAACCAAAACAAGTTTAAAGGAGATGGATCTCTTCATGCAGAGAAATAACCAAAACAAGTTTAAAGGAGATGGATCTCTTCATGCAGAGAAATAGCCAAAACAAGTTTAGAGGAAAAACCAAAGCCAGACTCAAACAAGATTATAAAAAATGTTGGTGCCAAAAGTGCCAAATTATTTGCAAGTCCTTTTTGGGGTCACACACACCATCACACACACATACACATATACACCTACACACACCCACACACACACATACACACACACACACGCACACACACACACACACACACATATACACATACATACACACACACACATATACACATAAAAACAGACACAGACACACAAAATGAGGGGTTGGTTTGTTTGTTTATGAAGCCATCATCCAGACACCATCAAAAGTATTCTCTTCAATAACAACGCCTGACTAAAATAATTGGAATATGTTGTTTTGGGGAAATGTATGACCTCTGTTGTCGCCGGACACTATGTCAAGGTGCACCAGGTATGGACCTTCTCTGTATGTCAAGGGGCACCAGGTATGGACCTTCTCTGTATGTCAAGGGGCACCAGGTATGGACCTTCTCTGTATGTCAAGGGGCACCAGGTATGGACCTTCTCTGTATGTCAAGGGGCACCAGGTATGGACCTTCTCTGTATGTCAAGGGGCACCATGTATGGACCTTCTCTGTATGTCAAGGGGCACCAGGTATGGACCTTCTCTGTATGTCAAGGGGCACCAGGTATGGACCTTCTCTGTATGTCAAGGGGCACCATGTATGGACCTTCTCTGTATGTCAAGGGGCACCAGGTATGGACCTTCTCTGTATGTCAAGGGGCACCAGGTATGGACCTTCTCTGTATGTCAAGGGGCACCAGGTATGGACCTTCTCTGTATGTCAAGGGGCACCAGGTATGGACCTTCTCTGTATGTCAAGGGGCACCAGGTATGGATCTTCTCTGTATGTCAAGGGGCACCTTGTATGGACCTTCTCTGTATGTCAAGGGGCACCATGTATGGACCTTCTCTGTATGTCAAGGGGCACCTTGTATGGACCTTCTCTGTATGTCAAGGGGCACCAGGTATGGACCTTCCCCAGGAGATGAGCAGTGTCAAGACGAGAATCCTAACCCCAGGAGATGAGCAGTGTCAAGACGAGAATCCTAACCCCAGGAGATGAGCAGTGTCAAGATGAGAATCCTAACCCCAGGAGATGAGCAGTGTCAAGATGAGAATCCTAACCCCAGGAGATGAGCAGTGTCAAGATGAGAATCCTAACCCCAGGAGATGAACATGACGTGTTGTAGGTAACATCATATGTCCCTGTCATCCCTGACCCCAGGCCATTGGTGGCATGTCGCAAGCCACATTAATATTCAGCATTGATCAAAATGTAGCCTACATGGATCTCCCACTGGGCACTACAAAGACCCCCCTCTACTATCCTCACTACACAGACAGTTCAAAGGGAAAATTATTTTAGAGAAACTTAAAAATACCATACGGTCATAGTCAATCAAACAGCCTTGAGGGATTGTTTGAGTAATAGGCATGTTCTCTTGAGGAGCTAACGCAGTTACATGTGTGGTGACACACACACACACACACACACACACACACACACACACACACACACACACACACACACACACACACACACACACACACACACACACACACACAAACACACACACACACACACACAAACACACACACACACACACTGAGAACCACATGGGTTGATGGCATACATCAGAGTCCACGTCAAGGCAGCATCGTACGCAATAGTGTCAGTAATATATCAGTATTATGTCATTAAATATGTTGTAAATATGTTAGTAATATGTCAGTAATATGTCAGTAAATATATCACTAATATATCACTAATATGTCAGTAATATGTAAGTTATATATCAGTGATATGTTAGTAAATATGTTGTAAATATGTCAGTAATATATCAGTAAATATGTCGTAAATATGTCAGTAACATATCCGAAATATATCCGAAATATATCAGTAATACATCAGTAATATATCAGTAATATATCAGTAATATATCAGTAAATATGTCGTAAATATGTCAGTAATATATCCGAAATATATCAGTAATATATCAGTAATATATCAGTAATATATCAGTAATATATCAGTAAATATGTCATAAATATGTTAGTAATATATCAGTAAATTTGTCGGTATATGTCAGTAATATGTTGATAATATATCAGTACTATATCAGTAATATAGGAGATGATACTGTGTTTTACAGCATCAGACTAATAGGCTCCTTCCTGGACTAGCCAGGCAACTTGTATATGCAAAATGTTATTTATATTATGCAAATCACTGAATAAAAAACCGATTCGTAAAATAGCTTATATTTTGAGGAATAGGGACAACTTTGTTAGGTAACAACCTAAATCTAAAATAAACTGCTTTTTCCCGTATTGTTATTGGTCAAACAGGGAAGAATCTCAACTAGTGAGGTCTGTGGATGTATTGTAAATAGAACTTCAACATAGATCTCTCATTTCAATAATTGACCAGAAAGTCAGGGTTACGCATACATAGAGGTAACTGTGATCATGTGTACACAACCATTCGGGGACGTCGATGGACATTGACTCCCCTCAATAGCGCTGCCCATGCTAATATGCCTTTTGGCCACTAGAGGCCTCTGTCGTTCTCCAACACAGAGAATAGTGTAGCGCTGGACATAGGAGAAAGACTCAATGCTGCGGGGCTTGTTTAGAAAAATACTGATTGGAATGTTCAAAGATTCTTCCTCCCCAGGAGTCATCCATCAACATTGACAAATATGCTGTACATCGTCAGTCACAGGTTTCATTAGGATAGATGTTGACGATTTTGTACCCACAGTAACAATCCGGACAAACCCCAACCAAAAACCCTGGATGAACTGAGATATCCGTACAATGCTGAGAGCCTGTACTGCAGCATTCAATGTCTTTAGAATGAACCCCGATGACTTGTACAAGGCAAGTTGGTACAAGCTCCACAAATCCAGTAGGGCCGCAAAAAGACAATACAAACTCAAACTTGAATCGATGTTCTACAACTCAGACTCTTGGTGCATGTGACAAGGACTACAGACTATCACGGACTACAAAGGCAAATCCATCTCTGTGGTGCCCACCGAAGCCTCCCTCCCAGACGAGCTTAACAGATTCTATGCTCGCTTCGAGGCAGACAATACCGAGCCATTCAGAAAGGGTCTCGCTGCTCCGGACAAACCAGGTGCTTTCGTTCTCCGAGGCTGACGTGAGGAAAACTCAAAAGAGTGAATACTCACAAAGCCACCTGCCCAGAACACGTCCCTGGCCGCATCCTCAGAGGGTGGGCTGACCAGCTGGCGGGCGTCTTCTCTGACATCATCAACCTGTCCCTATCCCAGCCTGTAGTCCCCACCTGCTTTCAGGAGACCACCATCGTCCCCAGTGACCAAGAAAAACATGGTGACATGCCTGAATGACTATCGCCCCTTGCACTCGACCCGGACATCATGAAGTGCTTCGAGAGGCTGATCAAGGCCCACACCAAGGCCACCATACCAGGCACACTGGACCCACTCCAATCTGCCTACCACTCCAACAGATCCATGGAAGATTCAATTTCCATCACTATTCACATGGCCATAACACATC